ACACTCCCCTGACCCCATCCCCTCCCCATCCCTGACCCCCAGCTCTGAGCCCAGCCCCTCTGAGCCAGACACTCCCCTGACCCCATCCCCTCCCCATCCCTGACCCCCAGCTCTGAGCCCAGCCCCTCTGAGCCGGGCACCCCCCGACCCAGAGCCCATCTCCCTACCCAGCCCTGGGCAACAGTAGCACCACCCCCAGGCAGTGACAGCCCATTGGTACCAACCATCACCATCACCCAGCAACAGCCCATTATGTAATTGCAAATGTATACATACCATTAAAGCATTTAATGTTTTAAAATAATGTATTTCATGTATTTTCAAATTATTAAAAATTAATTTTTGAATGTATTTCACTGGTTATTTTTTAAATGTCCAAATACATGTTACTATAGTATTTAAACTTTTTTTTATGGAAGGGGCCCCCAAAATTGCTTTGCCCCAGGCCCCCTGAATCCTCTGGGCGGCCCTGGGAGTGCCTGGGTCCCCCCACCAGCCACAGGGGAAAGTGATATGAGGCCCTGGAGAAAGGGCTAAGAACAGCTGAAATCCCTGGCAGAAGGGTGAGGACCATGGACCCAGAGTCAGGGCAGGAGACTTTTTATAAGGACAGTGAACTGTTATTTGTTGGACTTCTTGTTACCCTGGAAGGGGTGGGACTAAAATGTTACCTGGCTGGAGCAGGTGGGAATATTTCCACCCTGTATAATCCAATTTGCCCCTAGCCATACATCCATTCAGCACTGGTCCAAGTCCCTGGACCTAATCCTCAAGTCCTGGTTCTTACCTCAAAACCTTCAGACTTTAGTGGCACTTTCGAGGCACAATGCCTCCAGAATCTGCCTAACATGGGAAGAAGTAAACTCTCTAGTATATTATAATAGTTATTTATATTATTGCTGTTCCTAGCAGTCACAATTCAGATCAGGGTTGCCTTGTCCTGGGCACTCTATGTCCACATAGCAAAAGACAATTCCTGTGCTGAAGATGTTATAATCCATTCGACAATGGGTGGGAGGGGAAACAGAGGCACTGAGAGATGAAGTGACTTGCCCAAGACCATACAGTAGGTCATTGTTGGAGCAGGGGATAGAATTTGGAGCGCCTGAGTCCTGATCCAGTTTTGGATTTGAACTGCCTCTCTGCTGAGTGCCTGCTGGGGCATATTGAAATTTCACTGGGAGTTTTGTCTGTGGCAGGCTAGTCTTTGCTCAAGTTTGAATGTCCATTTTCATGTTGCTATGTCTTTAAGTGGAGTTTGGTTTCAGTGCTTATGTATCTCTACTAATCAACACTCACTCATCCAGCAGTGTTTCCTACTAGTCCTAATCAGCTGGGCAGGGTAATTACTTTCCAAGGATCAGATTGGAAGCAATTCTTTTGGGGACACATTTTCAGAAGTGCCTAAGGAGCATGCCTCTCGTTGACTCGGTGCTCCTAAATTCCTTAGGCTCTTATGAAAATCTCCCCCTTGATTCTTTCTATCCTGTTGAAAGCTTTCTAAGCATCTCAATCACCCTCCAGTGCAGTGCATCAGGCAGAGTGGATTATATTTAAGACCCTTCTGACAGCCAGTGCTGGTCCCAGTGTACTAATTATGATCACTCTTTTGAGTTAAGCTTTCGTGGGTAAGAACCTCATTTCTTCAGATGCAAGTATCTACTTGCATCTGAAGAAGTGAGGTTCTTACCCACGAAAGCTTATGCTCCCAATACTTCTGTTAGTCTTAAAGGTGCCACAGGACCCTCTGTTGCTTTTTACAGATTCAGACTAAGACGGCTACCCCTGTGATACTTGACTCTTTTGAGATGTCTATCTATCTAGGATTTGGCCAAGAACTAATAGAAGAAATCAGCTGTGGATTCTGCATAGTTCTTGGTCTTTCCCTTTGTTAACGTATGACTGACACAACTGCATTTGATACGACCACAGGTTACTGTCTTCTCCTGGCAATAACATGGTCTGACCAGACTTAGAATCTACATTGTACAAACATGGTAGTGACTTGCCAACTCCTGCTATTGCTAATTAGATCGTTACCAAGGAATGGTGAACCAGCCAACGTCTGTTCCCTTGAGGGTACCCGGATCATGCCGTGAAAACCTGCCAAAAGTGAAATACAGGGCCAGGTACTTTACTGGCATAATTGGCATAATTCCCCAGACTTCACTGGAGCTATCTTTATCTACTCCAGCTGAGGATCTGGTCCCTATAGTGAAGTATGTATTTATATGAGTGAAAGAGCTCGTGTTCCTTCTGCCAGTGAAGAAGTTTTTAGGGATTTAGTGTTTAAATCAGTGTTTAAGGATCATTATCTCAGATCATCTATAAGGAAGCATGATATTGTCATGAAATCTAATGGGCCAATTGGCCCAACCATCTTATTGACTCTCTCCAGCTCAGTGAAAGATAACCAGTATAGAAGAGATGCTTTGGGAAGTGTATTTTACCTACCCTATTAAATACCAAGGCAATAGAGGGTTTTAGTTCTGAATCAGCTGCACAGCATTCACTGTGCTGACGAGTGTCTGCAGTAAATCTGGGAACAGGAATTCACCTTCTGAGGGATGCAGGTGATTGTAAAGCAACTGAAATAGTCAAGCGCTCGTCACAAGCTGAGTATCGCTGTGAAGGAATGCAGCACTCACATCTGGAGATAAGGCAGCAGCTGCTCTTCCCTGTGAGGCAGCCCCATGCTTTAGTTTGGTGTTAGAAGGTGCCATTCTGCTGCTGATTAAACTTCAACTAGACACTGGAGTTCATTAATGAACCCATGGTGCTTTTATCCTGGGGCTCTTGTGAAGATCAGCTTGGTTCATTCTGTCTACCTAATATTCCTCTGTGCTTTCAGGTGAAGAATTTGCACCAGATCCTGAGCTGGTATAAATCCATCTGTTGACTTCTGCCCACCTGATGATCTGGCCTCATATTCTTTGCTTCTCTGCAGAACTTTGGAGGAGTACTTCTGTGTGCTGTTAGACAGCGGCGACATTCTGGCCCAGAGGCGACTGCATTACAATGATAGATGAAGTGATCCCTTATATACTGGGAAATCCAGATTTGCCAGCCCTGAATATCCAAATTTTGGTGACATCCCAAATTCAGACAGAAAATGAAACAGGATTTTGTATAAATCTAGATCATGGAACTCTTTCAGCTGGCCCCTACAACCTTCATATACACCTCTACCCCGATATAACGCTGTCCGCAGGAGCCAAAAAATCTTACTGTGTTATAGGTGAAACTGCGTTATATCGAACTTGCTTTGATCCGCCGGAGTGCGCAGCCCCCCTCCCCCCAGAGTACTGCTTTACCGCGTTATATCCGA